GTGTGGTAGGAAGTTCCTGCTGCCTCACTCACTGTCTTCTGGGATGTCTCACTTTCTGGACGCTTTGTTCCCATGAGAACTTACTCTGTTGGCCAGTCAGCCATGACTCTGGAGAAATCTTTTTCTTTTTTTTTTTTTTAATATACGTTCTGCCTTCTGAAAACGAGGCGTGCATCTTATTTGGGGTGTGTTTGTATGTGAGACAATATGGTATTCTAAAACATTATAGTCCATCAGAAACTAAACAGCCACAGACAGAAAATAGGATGCCAAGGTGCCACCAGTGTCTGCAATGGTAGGTGCAGATTGGGTGAGTAGGTGAGATTGGGTGCATACACATATACTAAGCTGATTTAAAATAAAGCTACTTAACTAAGCCAACTTAACTAAGTTGACTTAAATTACATCACATCAGAGCGTACACACATACAGCTCCTTGACACGGGTAGCAGCCATCTTGTGAACTAAGTTAACTTAACTAACGTGGCTCAGGATAATACACCTTGAAGGCATGCCTCGCAGAGCATCCAGCTGTTAGTTACACCAGCCCCACACTGGGCTCCAGAATCCTCCTATCAGGGCCCCGCTTTGATCCGTCCGCTCAGGTGGCCTACTCTGCCATCATTCAGGCTGCTAAGCTCCCCATAGCTATCTCCCCTCTTGGGTGTGGTCCCCCTGGGACCTTCGGCCACACAGGCCCGGCCTCACCTCCAAGGCCAGGCGCGACCCCAGGAACTCAGCTTTGGGCATCCCTTGCAGTGGGCCCTTGGCCCTTTTGACCTTCCTGGTCCTGACCCCAGTGTTGACCATTCAAGGGAGTACTCTACCTCTGTGCTCTCACTAGCCCCACTCTCTCTCTTGGGTCCACCTTCCTGGATGTGGGAGCTGGGGTACCTCACACCACAAATGGTGCTCCAGGGTCTCACAGGGGACTCTCACTCCCCACCTGGAGCAGCAGGTCATGGTGCTACTTCAGATCTTACTTTTGACCCACACTCAGCCTGCCAGCAGTGAAGGACTTACTGGGGTCAGGACTCGCCCCTCTCTCTTGGGCTGAGCCCCCTCTACTCTGCCTCTGGCCCAAATTTCAGCCTCAGGCATCTGAAGACTTACCTGGGCCTACTCCCCATGCTCAGGGCTCCACACCGCCCCCTCATGTAGGGCTCCACACCGCCCCCTCGCTTGGGGCTACTCATTTCTGTCCCCTTCACTCAGGGCTCCACACCGCCCCCTTCACTCAGGGCCATGGGGCTTCCCTCCCCGGTGGGCTCGGGTGGCCGTAGCTGTGCCTGGCCCCAACTATCTTTCCTCCGGGTCTTGCACCCTACAGGGCTCAGGTGGCCTCAGCCATGCCTGACCCCCACTCTCCCTCCTTGGGGTCTTGTTCCCGACAGGGCTCAGGTGGCCTTAGCCATGCCTGGCCCTGACTACCTCTGGTGTTACCAGACCCACCCAGTTGTTGGGGATAGGGGTTAAGGCGCCCCGACCCGCCTTTCACCAGGGTGATAACTCGCCTGGCATTTCCTGGGGGCTCCCACACCACTGAGAGCCCCACCAGGCCACCCATTCCCAGCAGGGTGCAGTTTATATAGGCAGCCAGAGATCTAAAATGGCTGCCTTACAAGCACCTGCGGGCTGGTTAGCTTTCGTTTTAAAGTGGCAGGCACCAGCAGTGTCCTGCCACACACCTTCCCCCTTTAAATGGTACCTAGGGGGTTTCTCCTGCTGCTGCTCCAAAGCAGGCTCCCAACGGAGCCTGTGGGAGCCCCCAAGTAGTGAGCACCCTCAAGGGTGCTCCGCCACACACCTTTCCCCTTTGAATGAACCTGGGGGGGTTCTCTAGACTGCCTCCTCTGCTGGGCTCTGCCCCAGCCTATTGCAGCCTCTGCCACATGGCAAGCACCCCAAAGGTGCTTCACCACACTCGCATTTAAGCTGACTCTGCTCCGTGTGTGTACACTCTGAAAGTTAAATTAGCTTTCAAAAATTAAGCCGGCTTAACTGTCAGAAAGTCAGTATACATGTACCCATCATGCCCAATTAATCTTAGTAGGTGATTCGCATTCTCATACTGCAGAAAACATCTAGTTACCTCTCAGTTTTACCACAGAAAGTTGATTTTTTTGTGGGGGGGGGTCTTTCTT